GCTGTACCTTTGGAATAGCAGTGGTGGAGGAAGAGCAACTCAGCTTATCTGTCAGAAGCTTGAAACACTTGGCGATCAGCTTGTCCTGCTTCTTGCACCACTTCTGCAATTTACTGTTATTCTTATGAGCTTCAGTCAAGCTCTTGCTCTGCCTCGCTGGAGGTACATGTTCACCAAAGTGATACATGCTAGTGTCGAACTCCACTGCCCTATCTTCATCCATCCCATCCGAAGCAGCTTCTTCAAGAAGATCATCCTCATCCAATGGCGGAGCGTTCTCATAGTTGAGGCGTCCAACCTCAGGCCTAAAATCAATGTTATCTCCCTCTATTATCCGTGTAACCTCAGGGCTTGGGAGAAGGATGTTAGCTCTCCGGTATGTAGAGTGCTCAAACCTGAACCTGTGGAAATCGTCAACCATTGCAAACTCCAGGAATTCGCAGTGACGTAGGTGCTCGATATCCATTGCTCGCGGCTCGAGTCCAGCAGAAATGATTGGGACTCTACAAGCTATCAGAATCGATGTCACAACGCCACCTATGCACAGAGCACCTCGTGCTCTCTTGCGGTTGTTGCTGACAGCCCAGCTCTTGTATCCACACAGATGGACCAGAAGAAGTACAGAGAAAGGTGTGTCATTGATTTCACCCTGGAGGGACATACCATTCTTAGTTTGGCGAAGAGTTCCCTTGAGGGCCATTGCGATCATCTCCATTTCAGAGTTAGTAACAGTCCCTATGATTTCTCGGAAGTAGAGTACATTGGCTATAGAACGCTGGAAGTACCTGATGACAGGGCTGCGTATCTGATTGCTCTTTGACCTGGAAGCATTTAACGGTACAGAGCTGCCGATGGTGATCCACAAGTCTTTCAACTCTTCTCTGTCATACTTGGGCTAAGATCCCGTTCCACTAGGGAAGCCAAACAATCCTTCCAAGCGCTTGATTGATAACCTATACTCATGACCATACACAGAAAATTGCAAGAATCCCAATCCTTCACAATCCAACTCATCAGAGGTCATACCTTGGTAGAGCTCTACTTGCAACGTGGAGAGGAATTATATTCTCTCATCTTCATACGCTACATACGGATAAGCCATCAGAGTGTCCAGATGACAACTTTGGTATAGGTGCTGAACATCTTCCAACAATCCGAGTTGTGCAAGTGAGGTCGAGCAAGGATACCTCGTGGTACAGAACTCATTCAGCTTGAAAAGCCTAACATATTCCTCAGCAGGCAATACGTCGGGCTTGTGCAGAAGTTTGGTAGCTCTGCTATCTCAGCTTTCCTTCTGAAGCTTTCATATTCTATCTGTTCCCTCTCTGGCCTTGAAGATGATGACTCTGTCTCATCCATGTTGTAGTCAGGATCAAGAGAAGAACTGCCACTGTAATTGCTCATGATTCTGTAGAAATTTAGAACTCAAAGCTCAAATGTCAATAGGTTAGTCTCAAAGATAGCAATGAAACCAAAATTTTTATCAATAGGCAATGAAATAGATTGAATTGATCGAGTACAGTTCTGTACTCGAGTAACTTGAGCTGTTCCTGGAGGTCGAGTGAATTGTGGATATCGAGTTCAGCCGGTGAAGTCTAGAGGTCGAGTAATCTCTATAGCAGTGCTTCAGGATTCTGTTGATTTCAAGAACAAGACGTCGAGTAGCAGTTGCAGAGGTCGAGTTAAAACTCGAGGTCGAGTGAAAGCTTGAACCCTGAGATTTTGACGGTGAACGAGGAGGAGTACTCGATTGCGGTGGCGTTGGGAAGGTCGAGTAATTCCTGGCGGTTGATGTGGATGAATTGGTCGAGTATATCAAAGGAATCGAGTGAAGTGGTCTTGTCGGGTGACGGAGGGAATGAACTGGTAACGGCGGCGTAGAGGTCGAGTGATTCTACGAGGTCGAGTGAAATTGTCTGGATCGAGTAGCTCTTTGAACGGCGATTCGTGGTGTAGAGAGATTGGAGTGTCAGTGGTGAGATGAAAAGAGGTAGGTCGAGTGGATTTGGAGAAGTCGAGTGAAGTTTCAAAAAGAGTGGTTGAGGTTGAGTTTCAGATTCTCTCTCCAGCTTATCCTCAGCGCGTGGTCCACACTCTGTTGACTGAGAAAATTTGCAGAAAACCTACTGTAAACTGCAGGAAATTTTTGCAAGTTTGTGTAGCTTCTGTTGGTCGAGTACAGTGATGTTTTTTTAAAATTTTGGATTTTAAACACCACGTATACTCAACTGATGTACTCGAATTCCGTGTCTCCAAACGCAACAGTAAACTTTCAAAATTTCGTACTCCACCAGGTTATACACTCGATCTCCAAGTCTTCTGTAGAGTAAGAGTTTTGAATTTTTACTCTATCTCCACGTTGTTCCCTTGTCTCTGAAAACCACAAACACAACTAAAACAAATCAAAAATAACAAGAAAGTAAAAATTATTTACAAGGATAGTCATGGGACTTCCTCCCAAGTGAGCTTGTTTAAAGTCATTAATCATCAAGAAGTTCCTGGAGATGAACCGATGTAACCTCTGGAAGGATTTGGTCTGCTAAGTATTTCTTGAGCCTTTGACCATTTATTGTAAAATCTCCACTCTTACTAGCTAGAGTGACTGCTCCATAAGGACAGACCTCAGTGATGCAGAAGGGGCCAGACCTTCTGGATTTAAGTTTTCTTGGAAAGAGTTTCAAGCGAGAGTTGAATAGCAGCACCTGATCACCAACCTGGAAATCCTTAGTGATGATCTTATTGTCATGGAAAAGCTTGGTTCTCTCCTTGTAGATTTTAGAATTCTCATAAGCTTCTAGACGGATCTCATCGAGGTCACTGAGTTGGATCAATCGCTTCTCCTCAGCAGTTTTTATGTCAAAGTTCAGAACTTTTACCGCCCACATTGCTTTGTACTCGAGCTCAACGGGTAGATGACATGATTTTCTATAGAGAAGATTGAAAGGAGTTGTACCAATGGGGGTCTTGAAGGTTATCCTGTAAGCCCATAATGCGTCATCTAGCTTTGCAGACCAGTCTTTCCTTGTAATCCCAACAGTCTTTTCCAGAACTGTTTTTATCTCCCTATTGGAGATCTCAACCTGCCCGCTTGTCTGTAGATGATAAGGAGTGGCGACCTTGTGCTTTACTCCATGCTTCTTCAAGAGGTTCTCAAAAACCTTGTTGATGAAATGCTTCCTGCCATCACTGATTACTACCCTGGGAACTCCAAATCTTGGGAAGATTATGGTCTTGAACAGCTTCAGCACAACTTTTGCATCGTTGGTAGGACTAGCAATAGCTTCGACCCACTTTGATACGTAGTCTACGGCGACCAGTATATATTTATCACCGTATGAAGATGGGAATGGACCCATAAAATCAATCCCCCATACATCAAAGATCTCAACTTCCAAGATTGGACTCTGAGGCATCTCATTTCTTCTGCTGATGTTGCCTTTTCTCTGGCACGAATCACACTTTGAAACAAACTCCTGAGCGTCCTTAAACATTATTGGCCACCAAAAACCTGCTTGAAGAATCTTGGACACTGTCTTGAACGTCGCGAAGTGACCACCATAGTAGGTGGTCGAGTATGAGGTCGAGTAACAAGAAAGAACTGTAGAAATTAAGCGACAGATAACAAGATGCAGTAAACAACAGTAGAGTAAACAAAGAATTCAATCAGATAAAGAATTCCCGAGGTTGGGTAATCGAGTAGTATCGTTTTCTCAGTTTACAGGTGATTGACATGCTCAATACATTAACCCTAGACAACAAGTTCATTAACCAAATCTAAGTGCCACCGCAATAAAGACTCTCAAGTTAACCTAGTCCTAGACTCAATCACCATTGACGAGAGCTAACCTAACAGGCATTACGAATCAACAAGTTAAAGCCAAAACGCTCCCTGCAACCAATACCTTGGTACAGTGTCAGGAATCTCTGGAATTAGTGGTTCAGACATTTCATCGAACACCTTTTGGGCGCGAAAATATCTGGGCTCAAATTCCAGTTGATCAGAAAGCAATAGGCATTAAGAACAACTAATCTATAAGGGATCTATCAACCAATACTCAATCACCTAGCATACTGAGAATTCTACACTACTCTAACCCATCCTCAGAAACCTATTCACTACTCAGACATCATAACAGAAAGCATAAACGTTGAACAGGTTGAAGACATGATAACAACAGTGTAACAGCAGGGTGATAACAGAATGAACAACAGCAAACGAAAATCAAGAACAAAAACTGAATACTGAATACTGAATAGATAAAGAGAAATCCGGATTACAAAAGGTCTAGCACACAAGGTCTGCGGAAATAAAACTAGATAAAAACTTCCCTGTCGAAAATGTGAAGTACATGCTACTTATAGCCAAATATCCCGAAACCCTAATACTCAAAACAAAGAAGTATTGGGACGGGTTAAGAACAGTCGTCGACCCATGTGGTCGAGTGAGAGGTCGAGTCAATAGCTGGAGTCTTCTTTTCTTCCTTGTGTTCGAGTGTCTGGTTGAGTGCGGAATGAAGAAGGCTCTGAAGCTTATCATCGAGTGGTGTGATGGTGTTACTCGACTTCCAGGTAGAGTGATGAGGTCGAGTAGAGGTCTGGCAATGGGATGAAGTTACTCGACCTGGGGGTCGAGTGATGTGATCGAGTGATGGTCAAGAGATGGAGATGAAGACACTCGACCTGGGGGTCGAGTGATGTGATAGAGTGGTGGTGTCTTCTACTCGACCAGGGGGTCGAGTGGTCTCTTGAGATCTTGAAGCTCCTACTCGACCTCTTGGTCGAGTGGTTTGTCATGATCAGGTCCGCTTCTTCCAGTTAGCTCGTCGACATCTCCAAATCACCTGAAAACAACACAAACATGCAACATGCATGCAAAACTATCCTAAACATGCAAAGTGATGACAAATGATGTGAAATGGTATAAAAAAGTGATGATATGATGCTAAAATGATGACAAATGGATGCTCAAAACATGCAAAATACACGGAATGCAAACATGCAAAATACACGAAATGGACTTTCCTGGAGGTCACCCATCCTAGTACTACTCTCGCCCAAGCACGCTTAACTGCGGAGTTTTGATGGGATCTGGTGCATTAGTGTTGGTATGATCGCATCCGTTACTACATGCAATGCAATCGTATATATTCTTTTTTGAAGACTTTATGTTCGATTTGCCGTGGGTC